GGAACAGCAAGCAGGCACTCGATATTTCCAAGCACTTACAGGCAGAGCAGCGCTGGGTTTCGCAAGCCATCAATGAGTGCTCGAGACTGCTAACGGACCACTGCTCTAAAACTATGCGTTGGAAACCTGGCTAACGGAAATCGCCCGCTGTGAAGCACGTGGGGAAAAAGTCCGACATTGTGTGGGAAGTTTGTTGAATTCATCAACCGCGTTTTGACTCCACGTGTTCATCCTCATCCCTTTGCACAACTACCACAATGCCGTATGCGAGCAGGCTGATCAATCCGTTTGTCGACATCAAGGCTGGTGTGGACGACGATGAGGAGGAGACCCTGGAGGAGGAGGAGGAGGAGGAGGAGGAGGCAGTTGTAGAAAAGGATGACGTGGAAGAGGAGGACGAGGAGGAGGTCGTGGCAGAGGAGGCCATGGAAGAGGGGGACGAGGAGGAGGCCGTGGAAGAGGAGGACGAGGAGGACGAGGACGAGGACGAGGAGATCTCAGGCGAGTATGTGGCTTTCGCCACGAGTAACCATGCTCATGACTTTACAGGTTCTGAAGATGACGGTGTGGGCGACCTTTCCTCATATCGGTTGTGGAGTTCATCCGACGCCGAAGACGTGAATCCAGAGGATATAGCCTCTCACTACCAACGTAGAGCTCGCATGGAGGATGTCAGCATTCTTGCGATGGACAACCATGTACCAGAGACTCACTTTCCTCCCGGTTTGGGAGACCCTGGCCTCTGGATGGTCAAAACAAGGGTGCGTGACATACTTGCACTTTCGATTTTTCGCTGAAGGATATTTCGCAGCGGAATCGCACTTTTGAGGCGCTGATGCTCATGCACGATGCACTAGCTGCGGGTCCAGTGGATGAAACGCAGGCTGCGGATCAGCACGACCTTTTTGTTGCAGGGACGTCTGGCACACAAGCGACTGGGACCATCTCACCGATGACAACGGCTCATACGGCGAAGACCCCGGCTGTACATTCAATCTCTCTCTGCGTAGGAGGAATGCACCTCGACCATGCAGATCATATCTACATCGAGGCCCAGGGCCCCATCGACGTCGCACGTGCATGCTCTATGGCGACGCATCTTCTTCGTCAAATTAAACCGCTCTACATACCACTGGATGAGAGGATCAGCACCTTTAGCATCGGGTCCACGAATATTCGAGCACATACTTTCACTAGGCTCCAATTTGGGAGGCTGTACAAGGGAGACCTCACGTACATTGAAGATGTACAGCAGGGCGTGGTGGTCTGGGCAGTTCCGCGAGTCTCGTATGGAAACAAAAGGTCATTGTGGCCTGCAGCGCGCCCGTTTGATCCCGCAGCGGCTTCGGAACATTGCGGTCATGAGTCCGTCAAGAAGAAGAGCCGCAAAGGCAAAGGCAAAGGCAAAGCAAGTTCAGAAATGATCAGAGAGCAGACTGCTGTCGATTACATATTCCGCGGAAAACGGTTCAGAGACGGGCTTGTGCGATTGAAATATGAGACTCGTTATCTAGGTCCCCTAATTCCTGCTCCAAGCGAAGACGATATCGAACCATTCGTTGGTCCTGACTGGATACCACAGAAAGCCATCGAAGACATGATTCATCTCTCAAATATGGCCAGTCTATCCCCGCACGATTGCATTCGCGTGACAGGTGGGGAACTGTCTGGCCTGGAAGGAGTCATCGATAGTGTGACAGATAGAACCACCACAATCCTATATGGTCGTGATTCAGCCGAGTCGACAGTTGTGTCCTTGGGCAGTCTCGAGAGGATTTTCAAGCCAGGCGATGCAGTAAAGGTACTGCGAGGTAGTCATCACGGAACTACAGGTTTTGTTCTGGCTTCTAAGCCGGACGTGTCTGTGCTTAGCGTCCATCATCATGAGCATGAGAATATAGAGGTACGTTCCCCATACACCACTTTATAACATCATTAATTATGTCATGCAGATTACAGTGAGGACTCATGACATGAAGATGCACAGCGTTCCATTCCGATTCGTCGCTGTGCCAGAAGAGGTGCAGAACTCGCACAGTCCTTCTGAGGAGCAGAGAACCAGACGTTCAGCTGCTGAGGAGTCCGATGCGCACAAAGCTGGATTGCCCGATGATGGTCCACTTACCGATGCCGTGCTCGAGCCGTACATTATGCATATGGTCGCGATCATTCGGGGCGGACATAAGGGTTACAGAGGATTACTCAAAAGCATTTATCGGGGCCGTTTGGCAGTCGAGCTTGGTTATCCGAGGTGTAGAGTGGTCTCATTCCGCCAGGAGGAGGTTGGCCTACTCAGGTGAGTGCGGTATGATACTGTGTAAATTGTCTGAACTATAGGTTGAGCTCGATTTCCAGCGATAAAGGCAATATTTACCCTCTCATGACAAGGGAAGGCAAGATATCGGACATATCGCTGTCCGATGAACTGCTTGCCGATGCTGGGAGGTTTGCAGGGGCGTCGTCTGCCCCATTACCTTCGAGCGCAACCCCAGCATGGCAGCCTACAGACGCCGATGTTGCACTTTTCAATAATCCTCAAACTTCAGCGGATTACCGACATCAAGCAGCATGGTGCGCCTCATCTGACGATTTGGACGTAGAGCTTGCGATTCTTCTTCAGGACGCTGAGAGCTCGAGTGGTCCTTCTGCAGACCCATCTGCAGGCCCATCTGAGAGCTCGAGTGGCCCCTCTGCAGGCCCATCTGAGAGCTCGAGTGGCCCCTCTGCAGGCCCATCTGGGAGCTCGAGTGGCCCTTCTGCAGCCCTGCCTGAGACAACCACATCCAATGTCACTCGCGGTAAGTCAATTGCGCTTTCAAAAGGAGTTACGCTTATCCCATTGTAGAATCTGTTATCCCGGCAACGTTTCTTTTTGATCCAAGAGTACGCGAAGCTCTTCCGAAGTTAAAGGTACTCCGGCTCCAAACGCGTGATCCAATAACCGGATGGCTTCCTGAAAACATCGATATATTCAAAGACTGGCACCACCTTTATCTCGAGGATCCCGTTGGACCAGATGGTTCAGATGAAGTTCACATATCAATCAGAACTGGTAGATTCCAGGATGAGCCCTCACCATGCTCTGCAATGTCCTTGGCACCGATGCCCCCCCATGTCAATGAACACGCCATGGTCATCTCTGGTGAGCATGCAGGAACCATAGCAAGTGTGGTATCGTTTAGTGATGACGATGGGCTCTGGGTTCTGCGGCCGATCGCTGTGCGTCCACGGTCTGAGACGCCCCGGACGTGGACTCGTCCGAGGCCCAAGAAGAAACCGAGACGTTCAAAGCGAGATGAGACCCCCACAATCACTGTGACACGTAATGAAGTGGTCAATGTCGTAGGGAACGAGTGATCATCGGAGTAGTTGTGTACTTGTATCGCAGTGTAGACAACTCGGACGATGAAAGATATAACGAAACGTTGCCCTCCTCATCTGATCAGAGCAGCTCATGTCACTACGGGTAGCGTTTGCGGGCCAGGCTGACTGCAGAACGTTCATCCTCCCTTCGCATTACGATGCTTATTATCTGCTCAGAGTATCAACCATAGCGCGAGGCGTGTGGCGGTCTCTCTCGTCTGATTAGAATAGCTCACAACATTGTTTCCAGTGTTTGCGGGCCAGACTGACTGCTTTGATGCATTACATCTGGTCTATACAATATGCACCATGTGATAGATATGCTAGCACCACAACTCGCTCATGCAGGAGAGAACGAGAGATGAACCAAAGTATGCAATCAGCGTCTTAGCAGCATACGTACGTCACCCTACTGTACCCTTTCGACCATAGGTGTATTCTTGTACGGTCGCTTTACTCTTGTCGCTGCCG